ATCAAAACAGTTAGTCATACTGTACGGATCTGAAACTTGGAGAACTACAACAAATACCATCAAGAAGGTACAAAAATTTATAAATAGCTGTCTACGAAAGATACTCAACATCCATTGGCCGAACACCATCAGCAAGAGCTTTCTGTGAGAGAGAATAAGCAAGCTTCCAGCAGAAGAGGAAATTTGGATAAGTCGATGGAAATGGATAGGACATAGATTACGCAAATCATCAAACTGCATCACGAGGCAAGCCCTAACTTGAAATTCTGAAGAGAAGTGGAAAAGAGGAAGGCCAAAGAATACATTACGTCGGATAATAGAAGCAAATATGAAAAATATGAATAGGAACTGGAAGGAGCTGGAAAGGATTGCCCAGGACAGGGTTGAATAGAGAATGACGGTAAGTGGCCAATGCTCCTTCAAGAGGAGTAACAGACGTAATTAAGTAAGTTCAGCAGTACACTGAGTACAGTCTTCAAAATACTTTCCAAAGCGCTATCGCGTTCACGCTGCACACCAGTTTCAATATCGACTTAATGTGTTAGAACTCTGGTCGTGTTATTGGTTATGCAGTGCCTAGTCTGGATGAATTTCCGATAAAAATCATCTTCTAACAACCTAAATGTTCGGATCACGACTTACTAGGCTAACAGTTGTTTTTGATATTAGCAATACGATGTTGAATACACTTAGAAACCCTTGTGTGGAATTTGATTCGAGAGCTAATTTTTAATCACTATGAATTCGGTTTTGCAACTTCAGCCGATCAGCTGACTCCAAAATCTTGTCGTTTTGTTCTGACATGAAATTCTAAATAAGAAGGACCGTAAGGTAACAATTGTTTGAATTATTTTTAATTGGACAAAAATTTTCATGTCTTTCCATTTAGGTAGATTACGTACGTAGAGACGAAACCAAAATGGTACATATATTAGCGACAAAATCCCACATATACCATCTGCTGACCTTCAACTTCAGAATTCAGTAAACGATAGGGGTTATCGAGAATTAGGTCATAATATGTGATACTGCTCCAGATTATATTCAATCAATCATTTAACTATCATGTTACATCAATAAACCACACATAAAGCAGCATCATATTAAAGTCAAACATAAAATAACACATATAAAAATCTGTGGATGCGGTTTGAAAATTTACGAATTTACTACGGGTAGAAATCATGATGACGGATTCAAGCTATCTGCAGATCACAAACCTAGATGATCCGTGTTGAATGAGTGAGGGAAAACTAAGGTTAGAGTCACACCACGTGGTCATCACCCAACGTCGATAACCTTTTCATCGTGTCAAAGTACTGTGGCTGTTGTGGAGTCAATATAACATAAAGGATTTTATTGCAGAAATACATGAATATGAGATTGCGATCACCACTGTATGGCGTTTGTTTGTCTGATACGCGTTGGTTATCCTTGAACTTGACGAGAATCGGTGAACTGACAAATTTCCAGTGATCCAACCGCCGGATGATTTAGAGAGGGCCCATTACCATTCCACTGACTCTACAAATCTTTAAAATAAAAGCATCAGCAGCTACCTGATATCCGGTGGTTGGTACATTATCCTGTGTACAGTATGTCTGTCAGTTTTCGGGTCGCCAACTAGTCTTCACTAATAAGGATGAGAGGTCTATCTACCTGTATTAATGCTTGCAGTTTGTAACACGGTGGAGGTCCAATCTCGTTTTTAATATATCAACAGAAGGTGCTGATGTTACGTGTTTTGGTCAAGAATTCCAATATTTCAAAACTCGGTGCGAGAAATGAAACTACAGACGTAGACGATTTGATCTCGGTGTCCTCTCAAATGGTCGGTAATGGACCTACAAATAGCCCATAATACTACGAATTCTCTCGCAGTAGCAGCCATACAGCTAGTAGTAGTTTTTAGATCGCTGCTTTTTATGTCTCTTAAATCCTTATAGTTTCTTACTTAGGGTAACACGAATCCACGTACTGTGTAGTGATATGGATCATCAGAGTTATTTAGTTGCATCACCACACTCTTTTTAGGACCATCCGTCCATCTACGCCACCAATGAAACGAGACACTATTCTGTCTGACACTGTGTAATGCTTTCCAAATCTTTATTTCATCGACGAAGAATAGAACGAATGACTTTGCTACAGTTGAAGACGACTGAAGGCTGTGCTTTGGAATACTCCACGTTTAACAGATTCCCGTGAAAAGAGGGCCTCATTTACACTTACCCTTTATCTCCTATTATGGAGAAAGTTGCTTATCCAGTCTATGACCCTATAATGGATCCCAAATATTTCCAGTCTTAATTTAAGACTCGAATGGCAGACCTTATCAAAGGCTTTACTTAGATCTAAGAAAATCTACAAGAATATTTCGATCATTCGCAGCAGCCCAATCTTCTGTCGCAATGAGCGAATTTGCCAAACGTGATAAGTCCTTCCAAAAACCATGTTGTTTCCTAGATAAAAGATTATGTCCCTCCACATAGTTTATAACAGCCATCCGAATAACTTTTCCATTAGTTTTACAACTGCACTGGTTAGACAAGCGGGTCAACAGTTACTAATTAAATCTCAACTCCCGTCTTAAACACCCGACTGATTATTGCATGTTTCCGATATCTTGGCAGCCTGAACTGTCGCAGAGACATACCAAACGGTACAACTAGGTTCAGCAATTAAATCCGATAGGGCTTTCATAATCCTAAGATGAATGTCATCAGATTCACTGGACTTACCAGGTTTGAGGTGCTGAAGTAGTCTTAAGACAGTACCTTTCTCCATCCATCAACAAGCCGCCATAATCACAGTTAATCGCTGGTCGTTACTCATTAGTGATAGAAAACACATTACTGAAATATTGCGATAAAGCATCAGCTTTTACGACAACGTCTTTTGTCAATATTAACGGATTTTAGTGTACCAAAAGTGATGGATTTCTATCAGTTCTCTGAGTTCGCCTTTTAATGTGTGGGAATAACCGTTTCAGACAATTTTTAAAATCTATAACCATTTGTTTTTCACGCAACTGTCTAGTCTTACTTACTGACGCTTTACAGGCATTCCTAGTCTTAAAATAACTGAACCTGTAGTAGAAATAAACATATTCCAATACTTTTTCCTACTTCTGATAAGTTTATCGACTTGTTTGTTATCTATGGTGTACTATTATTCGGACATCATGGTGTTAGGCATGCTATAAACGAGGATGTAACAAAACTATGCTTGCCTTTAAATATGAACCATGCTTCTTCAACTGATGAGCTAGCATCTATAAACCAATCTGTTTTAGCAGCGCACCTCCGAATGGCTGATGTTAGCTCTCCATATACTTGGGCGAGGTTTAACCTGATCGTTTATTATGTTATTAGATTCAAACGTGAATAACAAAACGGAGTGATCACTATTCACTAATGGTGGGCGAATATTTAGGTTGGCAATACTCGCAGTCGCGCGAGTGAATACCAAGTCTAACAAAGAAGAACCCCGGTTAGCGCCAAAACGAGTGGCTCTGGATACATGATATACTAATGCATGCTCAATTACCGTAAACCTGCTGACAAAACAGTTAATGGATCCTACCATGACCACCTCAATCCAACTAATAACACGTGCAACAAGAACTCCTAATATCAAGTATCTATTATATGCACTTCATAGTTGAATGTGCTCTAAAATTAAGTTATCAGTTAGGCAGATTGGGCTACGATACATGACACAGAGTATAAATGTAAAACATCTGACAGTGAGCTCACAGCTAATGACTTCACAAGTTACACTATCACGGAATTCGCAAGCAAACGAGCGGATATTTATATTATCGGCTATGTATAGAATGATAACACCCCCCTTCTACATCTGTCTATACTTAGGTAGTGGTATCCGGATAATTTTGAAGTGATGTCGAAGTCTGAACTAAGCAAGTTTCTGTTACGGGCTACAATGAGTGGCTTTAATTTGTCCACTAATGCTTCTAGTTCTTAGACTTTATTTCTTAGACCACGAGTAATGTCATTTTAAACTCCTAGGGAGAACGGCCTATCCATGCAGGCCTTCATAGCATTCCTTTCCAAGACTTGACTATTCGAAAACCTACTAATCGGAAATTCTCCTGTGGACAGGTTTCTAGTTCAGCTGGTATTGTCTTCCTTTTTAATCTATCTTCATGAGGCATATCAGGTTTTACCCCAATGTCGGTATTGTCGTGACTACAAGCGCTACTTAACAGAAGATAAGGTTGCTAATCTGACCCTAAGATTACCTTAAGGTGCCTATATGGTCGTGGTTCAACACTGTCGTCTTTCTTTTTACAGGATAAAACTAATAGGCTCATGGCCTTCTGAATCAGTAACGTCTTATTCGTACAGTAAAACATACAAAACCAAAACTAGTTGGGCTTTGAGCCATGTTTGAAAAAAATTCTTTTGTATGCGGTTGGACTTAAACGGGCACGCGTCTTCTGGAACCACTTTTTACACTCATTTTATTGCATTCGTTACTCCACGGGGAATAAAAAATTTGGCTGTCCACACTTACAATACTGCCAATCATCGCGACTAGATTAAAGTTTAAGAGTCTATATGAGCATAAGTGTCAGAGTCAATGAAAAAGAAGGTACCACAAGTTTAGCAAATAATCATAACTTAAATGAAATACTTCGAGCTAAGTTAGACAATGGATGCTTTTTGAAGCAACAAGTAAAGAAAAGCAAAGATAGTCACATCAAGTACTAAATCGTTTTCATTTTTTCATTTTTCCAGTCCAGCTGTTCCATTACCATTGGTTCATAGAAAATAAAACATTGTTCATACTTGTTTGTGACAGGATTTCTGCAAGCAAAATTCATCACAAAGTTCATAACCATTTATTCTTTTGGTAGTTCATATTTGTTTACCGATACATATGAAATCAATATTCAACTCCAAAACCTCGGTAAGAAGCTTTTCAGATCACTTATTCTGTCCAATCATACAATTTTGAAAATTGAGTAAGAACAACTTTTCTGAGGTCTAAGTGATTACTTTTGTTCGGCGGTCTTTTAACTTGGGATGCTGTGTTTTTGTGACTTAATAGGGTTTTAGCATGTCAATTGAGCCAATAAAGTCACAGCAATGGCTTCATCATGATTCACAACTGGCTGCTGATGCTGGGGTAACATTTGAGCTTCAATATGTTGGTGCCATCCCAGTGCTGACATCCATAAAATCTGTGAATATAAATACCAGAACTCGAATTTGTCGGTAAGGTTTAATATTTGAAACAGCTTGACTGACTTTATATTTTATTTATTTTTGTTGCGGCTTTTTACGATCTAATTTATTGACTATGTAACTCATTTGCGATGGTAGCCACAACCATATTCACATACACTTCATCCGTGAAGTTAAGTCTCGACTTGCTTGGGAGCATATTATTCATTTGTAATCTGTAAAGATAATTCAGTAGTAATACTCACCTGTTTTATTTTTAAGTCATACTTATCGTTTTGCGATCAAATCTAATCTAGTTTAATCTATATGAGAAAGTAATCATCAAGATAAAGAACTGCAACATACTACTGCTCCTCTTCACTTTTGCCTGCAACATATGGTGTCTGTTCCGGTCTAAATAACTTCAAATATGGAGCGCATTACTATGCAACGTTGCATGAAGCATGTTCCTGGAGCATATTCGGATGTTTTCAAAATGTAAATTTGTCAGTAATAGTGGCAAAACATTCTGTTTCGAAACGTAAAATGTTTGAAAATAGTAAAAATGGGGATAGATTCACTGCTGTTAAAAGTAAATATGTATATGTGCTGAGAATTCTATATTGTACCAAAATATAATATTGAATAAAGCCATTAATAATGATAATAATAGTGTTTTAACATAAGTAACTGCACATATCGCCAGTTTAATTTACTGTCTCTCCATTTATATTTTCATTCTCTTCTGAGTCATAACTACTGATACTCAGTTGTTTTGTATTCAGTACTGCTCGCAATTATCACTTTGCACCTGCTGATATGGAGTAAACGTTCTATTTGAGCGACCTGAAGAAAGCCAGGTTGACATTCATATTTTCACTTTCCGGGAAATCTAACCAACAAACGACAGTTTAATGCCATTTATATTTTAAAATACTTCTAGTGCTATAGTGTTTCTCTTTTGTTTCCTCAATTTTGCCGCTTCTATGTTTAGTAAGACAGGGTTTCTAAAGATTCCATTAATTCGTGAGAAATATTACTGTCCCCATGGTCCGGTACATCGAGTATTGTGACCATTTGGGAGTTTGTGTTTTCGAAATTCTGTACTTATATTTAGCTTCTAAAGAAGTATCTGGTTATCATTATGCATAGATTCAGGCTACTAATTCAACCAGTATATTTTGGATCTGTAACGTATCCTACCTAATTAGGTTTGAATAATCTGGTAGCACTAATTAATTGTATGTGTATTTACCGATATTGTTATTGAGTGATAGAATTTTTCGAAATGTTGAACCATTGTCTTTCAAACTCATAAAATGTTTACGTACGGTTTTCAGGATCCTAAGCTTAACAAGTCTCTACTTGTTAGTCTAGACGAACACGGAAGGACTGAGTACGTTTCTGGCAAGATGAAGGTTGCCTCTGAACTCACATCAGTGTTTATCGGTTTTGAAGTCGTGAACGACAATATCTAACTTTAACTAGAAAATTCGATGTTAGTGCTTCATCATAAACTGATACTTGTGATCATACATAGACCACAGTATGTTATTCTCATATACATACTGAGAATAAACTGCTTTTAAATGCTACACAAAGACGTCAGTAAGTAACGGGGAACCTGGGATACATGTGTTCATCAGTTCAAGTTGCCACATAACATCAGTTCCGTAAAATGAAGTCATGATAAATACCAAAGTAATAAAAGTAATATTAGCAGAAGTAAAAAATGGAGCGTAGACAGAATATATGATTCGAACAGAAAGAATAGGCTGACAGAATAAAAGATATAAAATAATTTCAAGAGTTAGAATCTAATGAAAGACGTAGTAAATGTATCTGCATTCTTGCGTCCGATTCTGAACGCTCTTACGCAACTTCTGTAATTATTTACCACAGTAGTCACGCAAAATACAAAGTGTCTTCATATATTTCTATTTTTATTCAACCAAGATTTAAATGTAGTGCTGAGTAATGTAAATGAATATCCCAACTACTTACTTGAAATCGCTTGTTTTGAAGTAAGGTAAAGTTGATATAAAGCATCATAATATTTTTCTGTTTTTTATTTTGCTTTCAAGCTTTTTGTTGGTTTTTCGAAATATTTATTATCAAATACTACATCCTTATGTTGACTAATCGAATTTCATAGTGAAAATTGATTCATAAACTTCAGTTGGCATGACTGTTTAGCTAGTTGTTATCGCTGTAACGTTTAATTTATGCAGAGTTACTTACTATAAACCTAGATTTTAAGGTCATAATGCATTTATTTTAGCCTCTCAAGTTAGAAGGCAATAAGAATTGTTTACATACTCTTAAATTCTCTCATATTTCTCCTTGCAGTGCATCAATACGTCGTGTATGTGAAGATGTTGGTCTAAAACTACCAAGTAACCAACCAGCTGACAAGTCAATAAAACAGTTCATTGGCCCATCCACTGATATGACATGGGCAATGGCAAACGTATACCTTACAATCACATCACAAACACTAACTGTTGAGACAATTGATAATGGTGTGGTATGTGATACATCTAATTTTTGCGTTCTGTTTTGGGTAGATGCTTCCGTTAGATAAACGATGAAATCTTAAGTTATGAAATTGATGAGTATTATTTGTTAACAGTTCTGTCAGAAATTGCTTTCATGACATTGAAAGGTATTGTATGAATTGATGGTTGAAAGTACACTAATTATTAGACATATAAACCCCCGACCGAAGCTGCTGCCTTGACGTGGTGGTGGTCGGGCTTGCCTATCGTGATGACCTATCCGAGCTATATTGGCTGGAACATATGTTCCTGTAGGTTCTACCATGCCAGGCAGGTCGATTGGTGAACGGTAAGACTAAAAGCAGCAACTCAAAGTCTGAGGGCGAAGTCGTACTGCTGACTGTACAGAGGTGTGACAGCAGTAAGGTGTTTCCTTCGGACAATCAGCATGACAGCGATGCTGCCTTCCCACAAGGAGGGGTGGGGTTAGAAAAGGTCGACCCTAAAAATGTCACACCTCACCTTACCTCACGGATTTCCGTCTCCGGCGGTAAGGCCATCTGAAGAACGGAGCTAACACGTCAAAAACCTTCCACGAAAAGGCCGTGCGCGACCGGCCTCAAGCAGTTGTCCCTTGGGCTCTGCGGTCACGCTCCCAGGTCGTTAAGACCAACACTAATCCAATTTCCTTTTCAGGTTCCTCAAGAAATACCCTTCCACGGTGTGGGCAGCCGGGAAGTGACATCAGCCCTCATACCTGTAACAGCACGCGAGACCAAGTTGGTTACATTCAAATCCTTCCTACACCTAATACCTCTCTTATCTCCATGACTAACCCTCCTCACGTCTCTTTATCACCTCGCACCGCTAGGGCAAACGATTCGAGTACGTGGAACGCTATTCCTGGTCTCCTGAAACCACGCTCTAAACTACACGTAGGAGCTTTTAACGTAAGAACACTGTGCCAAATAGGACAGCAGGCTTCCTTAGCTAGAACTTTAGAATCTTACGCCATCGATGTGTGTTGCGTCTCCGAAACGCGCATACAGGATCCAAGTAGCATCATTCATTTGACCTCACCATGCCAAAATAAAGAACCGACTCGATTTACGCTTCGTGTATCTGGAAGCCCTGATTCTGCATCCCATGGCCTCGCCGGCGTAGGTATAGCATTGAGTCCTAGGGCAGAACTAGCTCTCTTAGAGTGGATCCCAGTAGACAGTCGTTTGTGCGCTGTCCGACTGAACGGAACAGTAAGAATCCGGAAAGATAGGGACACTCGTCGTTGCCTCTTCGTCGTCTCTGCCTATTCTCCCACTGACTGCAGCCCAGATGATGTAAAAGATGAGTTTTACAGAAAGCTTTCGGACCTTCTCCGAAAAGCTAAGCGCTCGGATGTAGTAATAGTGGCCGGTGACTTTAATGCTCAAGTAGGTAAACTGAGCGATAGGGAAAAACACCTGGGTGGATCTTATAGCATCATGGCTCAAAGAACAGATAATGGCGACCATCTGTTGCAGCTATGCTCGGACAACCGCCTCTTTCTTGCAAATACTAACTTTAAGCATAAGGAAAAACATCTTTTAACATGGAGACCCCCTAATTCGTCCCAACGTTGGACCCAAATAGATTACATCGCATTCAGCCACCGATGGAGGGGCACGATAGAAGACTGTCGCTCATTCTGGGGCACATGCTTAGATTCAGGTCGTGCTCTAGTACGAGCGCGTATCTGTCTGCATCTTACTGGACGTAGGAAAGACGATGCAAGTAAACCTCTTAGGGCCCTACTTAATGATAGTCAAGCTAAGAGTATATTTCAGGAACAACTAGGAAAACAGTTAGGCAGCCATGTATGTGATGCCCACCCCGAGGCAGCATGGAATGATATCCGAAAAGCTGTGGAAACAGCAGTGATATCTGTTAGTAAAGTAAACCACAAGGTTAGGGAGCAACACTGGATCTCAGCAGCATCTATCGCACTGATAGATGCTCGGAAACTCATTCCACCTGGCTCTGAACATAGTGAAGAGCGGAGTCAGCTTAAGCGCAAACTGACAAGAAGTCTACGCAATGATCGCGAACAGTGGTGGGTAGCGAAAGCAAGAGAGATGGAAAAGGCAACGGCAATAGGTAATAGCAGACAATTGTTCAGACTCGTTAAGGAAACCGGAATTAGGAACCCGACTGTTAGCGAAACAATCTCAGAGAAAAATGGACATATTATTCATTCTCAATCCAGGAGATTGGATCGATGGGCAGAACACTTTAGGGGTCAGTTCAACTGGCCTTCAGCCACACTTCGGTTTCCCACGATCTCCAGTCAACCTGAATGGCAAGTTAATGTAAGTCCTCCGTCTCTTTACGAAGTTGAAAAAGCCATAGGAAATCTGAAACAAGGGAGAGCAGCAGGCCCTGACAGGTTTACTCCTGAGATTTTTAAGGATGGTGGTCCAGTATTAGCAATGAGATTAACCGAGGTCTTAAGTAGAATTTGGGAACTGGACGTAATCCCAGCTGACTGGTCTCAATCACTGATTGTGCCAGTCTATAAGAAAGGACAAAAGTCCTATTGTGACAATCACAGAGGAATCAGTTTGACTAATATAGTGTCTAAAATATTAGCTTCAATAATACTTCGACGCCTAATCAAAGCTCGTGAAGAGCAAACTAGAGAAAACCAGGCCGGTTTTCGACCTGGACGTGGTTGTATAGATCAGATATTCACACTACGTCAGGTTCTAGAACACAGACACACATTCAGACGCCCCACAATGGTAGTATTTCTCGATCTTAAGGCGGCATTCGACTCTGTTGATTGTGAGGTTCTATGGCAGTGTTTGTCACTGAAAGGAGTACCAAAGAAGTACATTAACCTTATAAAGGCTCTCTACTCGAACACATCTGGTAGAGTGAGAGCTTATGGCGAACTGTCATCAGAATTGATTACCTCAAGTGGTGTTCGTCAGGGCTGTCCACTCTCCCCATTCTTGTTCAACTTTGTGGTCGACGTACTTTTAGAGATGACACTTTCCTCATCTAAATTTCCGGGGGTTGAACTTCTACCGGGAGGTTCACTTGTTGACTTAGAATATTCCGATGACATCGTTTTATTTGGCGAAGACGCTGAAAAAATGCAGTCTTCTGACCACTCTAAGCAACAATGCAAGCATGTTCGGGATGCGATTCTCTCCCTCGAAATGCAAAATGTTGCTTCAGGATTGGGTTACATCGACACCCGTACTAGTGATAGGGAGTGAAGTAATTGAGTGTGTCGACCGCTTCACTTATCTTGGAAGTCTCATCAGCCCTTGTGGTCTGGTGTGTGACGAAATCTCAGCACGGATACAGAAGGCTCGACTAGTTTTTGCCAACTTGCGTCATTTATGGCGTAGGCGAGATATCCGTCTATCAACCAAAGGACGTGTTTACTGCGCAGCAGTTCGTTCCGTCCTACTTTATGGCTGTGAAACATGGCCGGTAAGAGTAGAGGATATTCGTAGGTTACTAGTATTTGATCATAGGTGTCTTCGAAGTATTGCTCGTATATCCTGGGACCACCGAGTAAGTAATGCAGCTGTTAGGAAACGGGTACTAGGTAAGGATGGCAAATCAATTGATGAAGTAGTGAAACTTCATCAGTTGAGATGGCTGGGACACGTGTTACGTATGCGCAACCACCGACTACCTCGACGTGCTATATTCAGTGATATAGGAGTAGGTTGGAAGAAAGCTAGGGGCGGCCAGACCAAAATATGGCACAAGGCCATGAAGTCACTGACAAGTGGTCTGAGTCATGTCGGTAGGTGTAGACTACCTGGTTGGGGACCGCGAGATGATAGCAACCGATGGTTAGAGACCCTGAATGACATGGCTCAAAATCGATTGCAATGGCGCAGGTGCATCCACTCTCTATGTTCTCCGAAATTCTAATTATCTGAATTCTTCATGCCCCTTTTTTTCCTCTTTCCAAATTTATTTCACTGGATTATACTCTTTAAATAACATCTCCAAACCCTAATCTTCCCGATTACTGCTTATACTCTTGCTACCTCTACCACTACGGGATTTGAATCGACCACTGCATCTCTGTGCTAATGTGGTATGGCAACTCGAACTGATGTACGTACGTACTAAGTTCTACGTTGTTACTGACTGACTGACTGAGACATATAAACCAACTGAGAGATAGAAATGTTAGCAAGTCATCGAAACCCAAACCTTTGCCAAAGGAAATATTATGTGATACATTTAATATTCTACTACCATCACAACAAGTTGAAATGAAAAAGAATGAGCCGAAAACAAAAGCTAGCAGTAAGTCATAAAGACAACCAAACAAACGAGATTTTCTCAAGTGGAGCCAAAGGTGAAGACATACGACCAGCTGTTTACATCCGAGCAGCACTGTTGACTAAGTCAAAAGCAACCCTTTTTACTGAACCGTTTGAAAGCCGCAGGCGTTAAATTCGTGAAAATTTTGTGGTACCAGCCTTTGCACTCATCGCACTGCATGCCGCTTTCAACAGGATAACGACAACCCGGACGTTGGCAACTGCTTTGTTTTGCACTGTCCGGTCATTAAAAAGGGGTCCTTTTAAAAAAAGCGAGATGCAATAAGACTCAGAGATAAACTATGATCTATGACCAAAAATATGGAGAACTGTAGATTGTTAGAACCAAAAGTACTAACAGATACAGTAGAAAATAAGGTACTCAAGAGTACCGACGATAAACTAATTGAGAAACAGTAAACGATACTCTAGTCGAATACTTTAACTGAAATAAATTCAATTAAAGTGAAAACAGTAGACTTGATACGTAATAAACGATCAAAACAATTTACTCAGCGAGGAAAAATACCACTGTTCTTTTAATTAGCGCGCACAGATTCGAGCCGTCATTTAGCGCAAGTTAGCCGGAAATATGGAGATTATAAGGACAGTTCAGAATGACAGATCAAACTCATCGTAATAATAAAATTGTATCCATATTTATCATACTTCCATACCATGAGTATTCTACAAAA